TGGGGTTTAGTCCAATTCTGCATCCTTTCCTTCAAGGCTCAGGGGTCCAAGATTATCTTCTGTGTCTGTGTTAATTGGTTTCCCTTTTCTTTGTTGAAAATGGTCTGTGCAATCCTTCTGCCTAGTCCGCCATCTTGCCCTGCCTCCCCTGCTTTACTTTTGCCTAGTTTTTTACCCTAGAGGGCTTGCTATTTTTGTCCAGGTTGATTGACATTTCCTGGATAAGCTGTAAGCAACTGATGGTTTGATGCTTTTTGTCTGGCTGTGGGCTGCAGCCTGCTTAGTGATTGGTCTATTTTATGCACTTTGCAGCGATTGGTCGGTATACTTGTGCAAATGAAGTGACTATACCCTACTATGCAACTCATATGTCCTGGAAAGGGGAGGGGCTTGGTTAGTTCATAGCCCTGGTAGGAGGGTCATGCCTTGACATTGATGAGGAATCTGCTTATATATGCAACCAACCCCATAAAGATTGGCAGACAGAGGAATAAAGAATGAAGAAAGGAGAAAAGGCAAGAGAGACAAGAAGCAGAGAGATAAGCAAGGAATGTCCTAAAAGATCTATAACACAGGTCAAGGGATGTCTTCTCACTGAAGATGACGAGAGATCTAGAAGAGGCCCTGTGGCAGAGCCAGTGGCAACAGGCCTGGAAAGGGCCCTACAACAGAGTCGGTGGTGATGGCAGAAACCTGATTCTAGGAATGCAGTTAAGAGAGCTGAACAAAACTGTTACTTTGGCTTATGAGCTGGGTCAGTTAGCAGTGGAGAGGCTGACAACAGGGAGGCCAAAACCAGAAAGGCCTGTCTTGAGGGGGCTTAGAAGTAGCCTGTCCTGGGGTGAGGGAAAGAGGGGTCTGCGGAGAGGAGTTCTGCCTTGGGGGAGTTGAGAAGAAGCCTGTCCTCAGGAGGCTGAAAGAAAGGCCTGCTTGCTTGCAAGGCTGAGAGGAGATTCAAAGGCTGTCCACACTGAAGAAGAGAGGGATGTGCTCTCCACTTCAGGGGACCCTTCTAAACTTTGTGTGCTCCTGATCCTGATCCTGATGAGTTGTACTCTGTACTTCCTTAATAAATCACTCAACTATAAGTATGGTCTGTGAGGTGGTTGTGGCCATCGCAGCAAATTGTCAAACCCAGCAGAGAAGTAGAGATTGCTGTGGGAGAAATGCCTGTTGTCAGAATTGGTAAAAAGATTGAAGGTTGATGGTATCTGTGATCTCCACCTCATAGGGATCAACCTTGGGCTGATCTTGATTCCCATTATCGCCTTGCAGTTATACAGACTCTGATGCTACTACTGCCATTACACATTAATCTTCGTCTTTCTAGACCTGTCAGCAGTATGTGACACAGTGGAATACTCTTTGTGAAATACTTCTTGGCTTCCAGGACACGACTTTCTCCTGATTCTTCTACCTCACTGGTTGCTGCTTCTCAGTCTCCTTTGCTAGTTCTTCTTTATATTCTTAACTTCTAAATGTTGGAGGGCCCCAGGCTTAGTCCTTGACCCCTGTTTTTCTGTCTGCACTCACTGTTACATGATCTCATGTAGTCTCAAGGCACTGATTATTTATACACCAAAATTATATCTTCAGCCTGGACCTCTCCCTTGAACTCCATACTTGATTAAACCATTTCCTCCAAGTTGATCCTAACTCATGGTGACCCCATGTGTGTCAGAGTAGAATTGTCTCCATAGGATTTTCATTGGCTGTTATTTTGGAAGAAGATCACCAGGCATTTCTTCCAAGGCACTGCTAGGTGGACTCTTAACTGCTAACCTTTTGATTAGTAGCCGAGTGTGTTAACCATTTGCATCACCCAGGAACTCCCCATACTTGGTTATCAACTGCATATTTGACAATTCCCCTGGGAGGCCCAATGAGCATGTTAAAAACTGAGCCTGACCTTCCCCCCACAGGTCTGCTCTTCTTTCTGTGGTCTTCCCCATCACAGTAATGGTGACTCTGTTCTTCCAGTTCTTCAGGCCAAAACCTAGGAGTCATCTTTTACTCCTTTCTCATAACTGCACATTTTAGCCAAATCCATTGACTCAATTTAAAAAATACATCCAGAATCTGAGCACTTCTCACTACTTCCATTACCATTACCCAATTTAAAACACTGTCATCTCTCACCTCAGTTGTTATAATAGCTTCCTATCCAGTTTTCTGGCTTCCACCCTTGCTTTTCTACAGTCTGTTCTCAACAAAGCTACCGAAGTCATTTTTTTTGCACTTTAGTCAGGTTATGTCATTCCTCTGCTCAAAACTCCCTGTTGACATCCCATCTCAGGGTAGTACCATTGAAGGCTTATCCCTTTTTTCCCCTTTGCCTTCTCCTCCTTCTAACCTCTCTGCACATTTTGACACCTATACTGACCACTTTGCTTTTTCTTGAACATTTTGCTTTTTTTCATCCTTCTTCATGTCTTTGTTCAAAAAGCCACTTTCTCAGCCAATATACTCATGAAGAGATGCTCAGGACTACTGGCCATCAGGGAAATGCAAATCAAAACCACAATTAGATACAACTTGGCACCCACTATGACAGCTGTGATCATAAAGACAGTAATAATAGCAAGTGTCGGTGAAGGTAGGGAGAGAGTGGAACACTGATATACAGCTAATGGGAATGAAAAACGTGCAGCTGCTTTGGAAGACAACCTTGCTGTTCCTGAAGTGTTTAAACATGAGTTACCATATTCCATTCCTAAGTATGTACTGAAAAGAAATTAAAGTATATTGACCCATGTCACTTTAGCTTTGTGTATTTCGCAAATTATATAAATTATATTTCAGTAAAATGTATTTTTTTAAAAAAGAAATTAAAGTGTATCTTCACAAAAAAATGTGTACATAAATGTTCATAGCAGTGTTATTCATAATAGCCCAAAAGTGGAACAATCCAAGTGCCTATCAATTGATGAATGGATAAATAAAATGCTGTCTATCCATAAAACAGAATACAGTTTGTCAATAAAAAAGAAATATAGTATTGATACCTGCTACAACTTGGATGAACTTTGAAAACATTGTGCGAAGTGAAACAAGCCATTTATAAAGGACAACATGGTATATGATTCCATGTATATATATAAAGTATCCAGAATAGGCAAATCTATGCCTAGGGCACTTGACTGCTAACCAGAAGGCTGGCGGTTCAAACCCACCAGCCCCGCCTCAGAAGGAAGATGGGGTAACCTACTTCTGTAGCGATACTGCCTCAGAAACCCAAGGAGGGGTCGCTATGAGTCAGGTCCGACTTGACAGCACATAACAACAACAACAACAGAGACAGAAAGTAGATTAATGGTTGACCAGGGCTGATGGGGTTGAGTAGAAATGGGGAGTGATTGTTAATGGGTACAGGACTTCTTTTGGGGGTGATGCAAATGTTATAAAATTGTGACAGATGTGCAACTTTGAATGTTTTAAAGCCATTGAATTACACATTTTACATGGGTGAATTGTATGGTTTGTGAATTATCTCAATAAAGCTATTAGGGGGGAAAAAAAGTCGCCTTTTCAGAGAGTCCTTCTTTGACTCTTAGAGGCAGGGATTTTGTCTATTTTCTGCACATAATAGGCACATCATAATTTTGAGTGAATTCCTATACCCATCTCTTGTGCTGGGCACATCGTAGACAGTCAGTAGATAGTGCTTGAATGAATTTCCAAATGTGAAAAGATTTGTGAATCTTCAGATTGATATTGATGCAGTCTGTCCCTCGTGAGTCCAGTAGTACTTCAGACATTGCCAAGATGGTAAATTCATAGGAATAGAGGGCTAGAAAGGCACTTAAATCCATCACAGATTCCCATAATAAAGATTTATGATGGAGTAGCGGGGACTTTTGGTTCTTTGTTTACTCTCTACTTTCAAGTCATATTTAATTAATTATGGTCTAAGAAAGCACTCACATGTATTCTTTCTGATTTTCTTTTTTTTTCGCAGACAATACCTGAAATCCCACCAAAGCCTGGAGAACTCAAAACGGAGCTTTTGGGACTAAAAGAGAGACAACATGAACCTCAAATTTCTGAACAGTAGAAACCTAAAACACAACTATGCCAAGGATTCTGTGAATAATATTGTAAATTTTAAGTATATATTTTTATAATTTATCGAAAGTCAAACTACTTGCCTGATGCGTCTAATACGATAATAACTGCAAGAAGAGGTGCTCAATAGATAAGAACTTATTCTTTGAGAATTGACTACAATTTGGCCCTTATATCTTGAAAACTGCCAAAGGATATGTCATCAGCTTCTTGACTGTGGTTTGGGAGATACTTAGTTTTGAGTATCATGTGAGATATACCATCTGCAGTGTCTTCCACCATTATAATTCTGGTTTGTCACTGAATTAAGCTTTGATTATGATGGTGAATGGGAATCATAAATTAACTATAATAAAAGTTACATTGAGGATGAATATTTATGGTGTGAAGTTAATATTTCTCTAAATGGTAGGAAGTACTATATCTACTAAACTGTAGTGAGTTGACATACTAGAAATTTGAAGTTCTTTTGGAATTGTGTATTTAAGTTATTAAGCCCTTGAAACTGAATTTCAGAAACCACCTTGGCATTTAATTTTTCTGATAAGAAATATTTTAAAATAGCTGAAAAATGTAAGTGAGCAATTTAGCCTTTTACTGAGTCTATAAATACAGAATAAAATTTTTTATAATTTATTTCTGATTAGGGCTATTTTTCCAAAACACATTTTTTAGAATTCTGCATAAAGATAATGGTTAGCCTTACTTCTTAGCCAGTTAATAAATTGCAGATCTTTGGGGTCAAAGTTGAAACTTAAATATTAAAACCCCTAAAAGCCAACAAAACCATTTGTTTCACTCTCCATAGGCAATATTCTTTTCATTTCAACAATATAAATGAAACACTGACGTCCAGCCTCATATATAAGATTCTCAGACTTGTTATCTGTTGAAATGCCCTTTGGCGCCTTATCAAATGCTTCCATCACCAAGTGTCTCTCTCTAGTGAAAGGGCCTGTGATTTAAAGGTAGAAGGTGGAGTTTTGCGTTGAAACTCCTTGCTGTTTGCAGGTGTTTTATTCCCTGTGACCTTCATTTTGGCTCCTGTAGCTCAAAATTCATAGCTGCCATGTTTTGAATACTTTTTTCTTGGGAAAAAAAATCATATACAAATAGTGAAGCTTGCCACAGCTGCCATTTGCAAGGATTTTATGTAGGACTGGAAGAAGTTCTGACTTTTTAAAAAATATTTTGTTGTTTTTGGTGAAGGTTTACATAGCAGTTTAGGTACCCATTCAACAATTAATACACAAATTGTTGAGTGGCATTGGTTACATTCTTTACAAGATGTGAACATTCTCATTTCCATCCTGGTTGTTCATTTCCACTAATCTAGTTTCCCTACCCCCATTCTCATCTTTGTTTTTTTTCAAATTTTATTTTGTTGTTGTCAAGAATATACACAGCAATACACGCCAATTCAACCATTTCTGCATGCATAATTCATTGACAGTGGTTACATTCTTCAAATTGTACAACCATTCTCACCTTCTTTTTCTAAATAGTTCTTCCTCACTGGCCCCTAAGATTCCCATCAAATCTTTCCAGTTGCTGTTGTCACTTTGATCGCATATTGATAGTTCTTTTATAAAAGAACATAATACTCAAGGCAGACATTTTTTATTAGTTAAGCTAGACTACTGTTTGGTTTTCCAGTAATATATCAGACAATGTTTCACTGCTATTCATAAGGTTTTTAGTGGCCGGTTTTTACAGAAGTAGATGGCCCCATTCTTCTTCCCAGTCTGTCTTCATCTGGAAGCTCTGCTGAAACCTGTCCACCATGGGAGGCCCTGATGGTATTTGAAATACCAGTGGCATAACCTCCACCCTCACAGCAACACATTAGCCACCACAGTATGACAGACTGACAAATGAGTAAGAGAAGCTCAATATCTGTCAAAAAAAAGGTCAGGAGCTGATTGTGGAACAGAATATCAATTTCTCATATGCATAAGTTCAAGTTGAAACTAAAGAAAATTAAAATAAGTCCACAAGAGCCAAAATATGACCTTGATTTTTTTTTTTTTAGTTTTATTTTATTTTATTTATTAGGATTTGGGTGAAGATTTACAGAGTAAATTCACTTTTCATACAGCAGTTCACATATACTTTGTCTCATGTCATTGACCAAAATTTACAATGCAGCAGCTCCCCTCCCACTTCCTCCCCATAGTTACCTCCTCCCAGTGTCCATCCCTTCATACTCTTCTGCACCCTGAGCTATCTCCCTGTGCATAAGCAGCCCTTCCTTCTCCCTGATTGTTCTCTCCAGGGCGTGTGTCTACTTGAATGACCTTGATTTTATCCCATCCAAATTTAGAGACCATCTGAGGAATAGATTTGATGCATTGAACATCAATGACCAAAGACCAGACAAGCTGTGGAATCACATCAAGATCATACACGAAGAAAGCAAATGGTCATTAAAAAGATAGGAAGAAAAGACCAAAATGGATGTCAGAAGAGGCTCTGAAACTTGCTCTTGAACAGAGTGGCGAAAGCAAATGGAAGAAATGCTGGAATAAACGATGTTAACAGAAGATTTCAAAGGGCAGCTTGAGAAGACAATGTATTAGAATGAAATGTACAAAGACCTGGAGTTAGAAAACCGAAAGGGAAGAACATGTTTGGTATTTCTCAAGCTGAAAGCACTGAAAGAAAAATTCAAGCCTCAAGTTGCAACATAGGATTCTATTGGCAAAATATTGAATGATTCAGGAAGCATCAAAAGAAAATGGAAGGAATAAACAGTCACTGTATCAAAAAGAATTGGTCTATTTCCAACTATTACAGGAGGTAGCATATGATCAAGAACCAATGGTATTGAAGGAAGAAGTCGAGGCTGCACTGAAGGAACTGGTGAAAAAGAAGGGTCCAGGAATCGATGGAATACCTATTAAGATATTTCTTCAAACGGATATAGCTCTGGAGGCACTTACTTGTTTATGCCAAGAAATTTAGAAGACAGCTACCTGGCCAACTGACTGGAAGAGATTGATATTTGTACCCCTTCCAAAGAAAAGATGATCCAAAAGAATGTGGAAGTTACTGAACAGTATCGATATCACATGCAAGTAAAATCTTGCTGTTCTGTTTCCCTAGTGCTGCTCTGACAGGAAATACACCACAAATGGGATGGCCTTAACAAACAGGAGTCTATTCTCTTACAGTTTGGAGGCTTTAAGTCTAAGTTCAAAGTGCCAGGGTCTAGGGGCTGGATGAAAGCCCCTCAGCCTTGGGCTTCAGCTCTGCCTCCAGCTCTCGGACCACTGAAGTTAGAGGCTTTTCGTCACTCAGACAGCTGTTGGTTGCTGAGGCTGCCAAGCCCAAGGTTGACAAGTAAAAAGGCACAGTCCTGATGTTACCAAACCACATGGCAGGCCATTAACTCAAGTCCACTGAAAGTCCCAAGGTCGGCAGAGCATGGCAGGCTGCTGAACAATGACATGGCTACATGCAGGGTTCAAGCATGCCATAAGCTAGAGACTATTCCCAAGGCTTCTCCCTATAGAGAGGAAGCAGACCACATCCCAAAGGCAGCTACTCAGCTGCTTGTGGTAGATCCCACTATGGAGTTGATTGCCAGTCTCATCATGAGGAATAACTACAACCAGCTGCCCAGCCACTCAACCAGGCCCAGCCAAGTTGACATACAAACGGAACTACCACAATTGACATACAATCTGACAACTGCCCTTGTCAACTTTGCATTTGTACAGATCGTCATTGGGTGGCATCTGTACAAATCTCCTCCACTGGGTGGCTCCACTCCCCTAGTTCCTCTAAGTGGCTACCTCACCCCCTTGGCCTGGTGGCCCTGGCCTGTTCCTCTCCCTCTTGGGCATGGCAGCCCCACCCCCTCACTCTTGGGCAGCAGCTACAGCTCCATCCCACTGGCTCACATGAACGAGCAGCCCCACACTGCAGAACCAAGTTGGTGAAGGCCTGGCTCTTTGAAACATAGGGGGCTGTGGTGATTCCACCCCCAAAGGCTATGGTCCTGCCCTTTCAGGCTGAGGCAGCTCTGCTTCCGTTTCCTTGGTCTTTCCACTTCTGCTGATCAATGCCGAAGGCAACCCACTCCACTGGAAAACTTCCTGCCCAAAGAGCACTCGGCTTTCTTGCTCCATGGGCCAGTCAACCTGCTACTCCATCTCATGCCAGTCTCTTCAACTAATTAATGCCTGAAGGCAACCCACTCTGCCAGGAAGCCGCCTACCCAATGGCACCCAGCTTTCTCCTCCGTAGGCTGGTAAGCCTGTTGCTGTTTAATGCTAGTCTCTGGGCTCTGCTACTGCCATCTCTCATGCTGGTCTCTCTGCTAGTATCTCTCTGCCAGTCTCTTGGCTCTGCTTCTGCCGTCTTTCATGCCATATGCTGGGATCTCTCTGCCAGGGTCTCAGGTCAAGGCCCACTCCACTCCTGTTTCCACATTTTAGGTATCTGTCAGAGCAGCACCCCACTCTCTAGGTACCATAATCTGTTCTGGTTCTCTAGTGCTGCTCTGACAAGAGATACACTACAAATGGGATGGTCTTAACAAATAGGAGTTTATTCTCTTACAGTTTGGAGGCTTTAAGTCTAAGTTCAAAGTGCCAGGCTCTAGGGGCTGGAGGAAAGCCCCTCAGCCTTGGACTTCAGTTCTGCCTCCAGCTCCTGGCCCACTGAAGCTAGAGCCTTTTCTTCACTCAGACAGCTGCTGGCTGCTGAGGCTGCCAAGCCCAAGGTTGACAAGTAAAAAGCACAGTCCCAATGTTACCAAACCACATGCTAGGCCATTAATTCAAGTTCATTGTAAGTCCCCAGGTCGGCAGAGTGTGGCAGGCTGTTGAACAATGACACAGCTACATGCAGGGTTCAAGGTGCCATAAGTTAGAGACTATCCCCAAGGCTTCTCCTTATATAGAGGAAGCAGACCACATCCAAAAGGCAGCTACTCAGCTGCTTGTGGCAGATTCCACCATGGAGTTGACTGCCAGTTTCATC